TGGAGGGGTGCTGGTGCACTAACGTGATCAGGCAGAGGGGTGCTGTGCACTAACATGGTCAGGTGGAGGGGCAGTGGTGCACTAACATGGTCAGGTGGAAGGGCAGTGGTGCACTAACGTGGTCAGGTGGAAGGGCACTGGTGCACTAGGTAAGGTGAAGGGGCAGTGGTGCACTAACGTGGTCAGGCGGAGGGGCAGTGGTGCACTAATGTGATTAGGTGGAGGGGCGGTGGTACACTAACGTGATCAGGTGGAGGGGTGCTGGTGCACTAACATGGTCTTTCTCTGCGCTCACATGTGCAGGACGGTGATCTTTCCATGTACGGGCCAGAATTGTTCAATATTTAAGGAAGTCTAAGAAAAATGGCTAACACATGTTTTTTTGTGTGGCCATATACCCCCAAGATTCCCACACTGTCCTCAAATTTTAGCAAATGATGTATCGGGGGTGGGAGAAGTGAAGAGGAAACTTTTCATGACAATAAAGCTAGCTCCTAGGAAAGAATCAGAAACTGGGTAAAAAGCCAGAAGGGGTTGCTACAGACTCTTTCTCAAAACAATACAAATCAGGGGCAGCCATAGTGCAGGTGGTGACAGAGAGGGGCCTGCAGACACTCACTTTTGCAGAGGCCCATGTCACGGTAGAAGGCCGGTGAGCACTGCTCCACGCAGGCCCCGTCCTGCAGGACGTAGCCGCCCATGCACTGCAGGCAGTCCGTGGCCAGAGGCCCGCTGCATGCACTGCAGCTCCAGTCACACCCTGCAAAGAAAGTCAGGGATACAGCAGCTTCCTTTCTGTCCACCCCCGTCCCAGAGACTAATTTATGAGGATGCCGTCTGCAGCTGCAAGGAGTGAAATGAGGACAGAGTCAGAGACACCAGACAGCAGGCTCACATGTGGGCTCTGCTTGTAGGGGCCTGCGTGCTTCTCTGAACTCTGTTTCCTAATTATGTTAGACATGGGCATGTACAAGGAACACTGCACGCCTGGGCACAGCCCACTGCCAGCAGGGCTGCCAAGATGCCATATCAATTTGGCTGGTGGCGCTTGGGCCCCAGAGTTCTTTATCCCTGTACCACTCCAAGTCTTCATGAAAAGCCTGACATAGGGAGCGGCTACCATGCCCCACAAACCTAATCCTGATCTCCAAATGCTCAGTAGGCAAAAGCACCACTTAAAAGGCTCCTGCTGCCACCACCGGCAGCAGGCACATGACTTTATCTCTCAGAAATTGGGTGTTGTGGCCAACACAACAGAAAGAATAATGATGCTAGAATTAAAAGGGGCGTTAAAGGAACTGTCCAGAAAGAAAGGGCTTAGTGAAATAATAGAGGATCTCGCTAGGGCAGCAGAGCTGACTTGTTCACATCTCCATGTGCTCAACAAGCACCTATCACTGGACTGGGAAGGTTCATATCATGGAAATGGCAGGTGTAGGCTCTGCCCTCAAGGAGCGTAAGTTCTAATGGGGTCTAAACTCAGATGTGTGTCCAAACAATCCAGAGGGATCGGGAGAAAACAGATAGATTATCAGGCTCAACAGCAGACCGACAAAATCAGAGTCTCAGTTTGGCTGAGGGACAGGAAAACATGCTGCTGGTACTGTTACTATGATTATTATTATTGATGTTACCACTGGTATTTTTTTCTTTTCTTTTTTTTTATTAAATCATAGCTGTGTATGTTAATGCAATCACAGGGTACAATGTGCTAGTTTTACACACAATCTGAAATGCCTTCATCAAACTGGTCAACATAGCCTTCACAGCATTTTCTCAGTTATTGTGTTAAGACATTTATATTCTATACATAGTAAGTTCCACATGTACCCTTGTAAGATGCACTGTAGGTGTGGTCCCACCAATTACCCTCCCTCCACCCATCCTCCCCCCTCCCCTCCCATCCCTCTCCCTTTTCCCCTTCTTCTTGGGCTATAATTGGGTTGTAGCTTTCATAAGAAAGTTATAAATGGTTTCATAGTAAGACTGAGTACATTAGATACTTTTTCTTCCATTCTTGAGATACTTTGCTAAGAAGAATATGTTCCAGCTCCATCCACGTAAACATGTAAGAGGTAAAGTCTCCATCTTTCTTTAAGGCTGCATAATATTCCACGGTGTACATACACCACAATATTGCTATTATTTCTAATGGCCTAGGCAATTCTGATGAAGTTGGAAAACTCACGTTTGGCAGCCAGTGTTCTAGCTGATAGGGTAAATCCTCCATCCTTAGAGGATAGGCAGCGGTAGCACAGTTAAGCTCATGGGTTTTGAAGTGAGGCAAATCTGTATTTAAGTCATGGCATTATCCTACAACCATCCTTAAACTCTTTTTTTTTTTTTTGACAGAGTCTCACTTTGTCGCCCTTGGTAGAGTTCCCGTGGCTCACAGCAATCTCCAACTCTTGCGCTTAAGTGATTCTCTTGCCTTAGCCTCCCAAGTAGCTGGGGCTACAGGCGCCTGCCACAATGCCCGGCTATTTTTATTTTTTGGTTGTCATCATTGTTGTTTGGCAGGCCTGGGCTGGATTTGAACCCGCCAGCTCTGGTGTATGTGGCTGGCATCCAGCCCATCCTTAAACTTTTTGAACCTCAGTTTTCTGATCTTGAAAACTGAGATCCGGGTAGTACCTACTGCGTAAGACGATTGTGAAGATTAAATGGAATAAGGGAAGGTAAAGCATTTAGCACATTGCCTGGCAATACAATAACAACTCGATAAATGTTTGCTGCTGAACTATTTTTCATAAGAGAATATTTCTCCAGTTAGAGCCACCTCGATCCCACCTTCCCTTGCCACTAATAAGCTGGAGAAACCTCTGATTAGTCATCTTTTCTCCAACTTGATGTAATACATCTAAGTCCTCTCAAAGCAGGTAAATATGCAAGACAGTACACGTGCTTCCAAGAAGATTTATAAAGTTAATCTCACTAAGACAGAGCTTTCAAAACTGCCAGCATAGCTATGAAATCATTGACAATGGGGAGGATTTGTGATAATCTTGTTTTTCACCACAAACTGACAGCCACTGGTTAGAAGGAAAACCCAGAAAAGCTGCTGTGGCCGTGAGCGTGGCAGACCACCTAAGTTGACAACCAGGTAGAATTTCTTGGAATAGAAAGTGTGCAATTTTCAGAGCCTTACAGTCTCCCAAGTTTACTTACAGATGTTTGACCTCCATATTTGAGTTCCAGCTTCTCTGCCAGAACCAGAGGGATAGAGGGAAAGGTGGAAGGAACTGGAAGTGAGGAGGGGAAAACAGACAAGATCAAGTAAAACCTGTCCTTTCCCTCTGTCTAACCCTCCCTGAGAGCCGCCACTCAAGGGGCATAAGCCTCAAGAATTCCACCTCCCAGAGAGCAAGGAAAAAGGTGTTTGGTGTCTGACATCTTCTCTCAATAAATCCCTTGAGGACAAGGCCCATGTCTTCAGACGTTTGAGTGCATTAAGCAGAGATGAACATGTCAGACACAGCTCCTAAGTGCATTCTGCTTAGAATGCAGCAATGCAGGGCTCCCAACAAAGACACCTACAGCCCAGCACGGTCATGTAAATCTTCTAAATCAGCCTGTTGTGAGAGAACAGGGAACGGTGGGGACTGTGGCAAACTGGACACATGCGCTCAGCCCAGCAGGACGCAGCTACACAGTTCCAACCATCTACTGCGTGGTGGGAGTGCAGTCCCACTGCTGCCAGATCTTCTGATTTTCTTTCCAAAAACCCCTCTGAAAAATCTCAATTTTTTTGTATGTGAAATCTTCTGATTTTAAAAGGCAAACAATTAAAGATTGTAAAGCACTGGAACATTAAGCAGGCTAAACAAAACAAGCCCGTGAGCCAGAGACAACCTCAGGATCTCCAGTTTGCCAGCTCTGGTTAGTTACCAGCACCTGGCACCATGTGCGGCACACAGATGGTGCTCAATGTTATCTCTTAGACATGAATACATGCAGACATCAGAGAAATTCAAAACCTACAGAGAGACGGCGACAGTAAAGGCGTATCGCTGGGTAAATGGATCCCTACACGATTCAAGGAGAGCTTTACCTTTGCACGTGTTGGTGGCAAAGTCAAGGTAATACTGTGGCGCGCAGCTCTCGTACCGACACTCCCCAAGGAGCAGGACCTTGCTGGGATCTCGGCAGGAGGTACAGCTGGCCTGTGAGTCACAGCTTCTACACTGGGCACCGCAAGCTGAGCAGACAGGAAAGAAAGTGACCAGGTGATTATGGCTGGACACTGAGGCGCTGACCACACCCAGACACTGCTCAGAGCAGAGCCCCGCTCCAGCCTGCTCCTCCATCGTGCCTCAGCACCCTTCCCTGGGTCAATGGAAACAAAACATTACTTTGATTTTCCAGAATAAGAGAGGGCGAACTTACTTTCCAGAGAAAATAAATTATGAATCCCAACATGGAAACGCTACATCCAAATTGCCCCGTGAGTCAGCAGCAGAAGGTACACGTCCTCTACGATCTCTGGAGCTGTGGTTCAGAATTTAAAACTTGCTTCTTGAGGAATCAAGTCCCTTAGAGTTCAAGATGTAGATTCATATTTTTGTGGGATGCACAAAGGATTAAAATTAGGTACTCACTTTATTATGGAGTTCAGGAAATACTGTATTTCCAGATACAAAAGGCTTGAATGCGACCTGGTCCTGCATTTGCCCAGTTGTAATACTTAGCCGCCGGCAGCCAGGTAATTCAGCGTTCTGCTCATGCTTCCATCTTCCCTAATTTCACAACTGGCTTTTCTCCACCTCCTCAGTTGTTCACATAACCTTGGAGTTTATCCTGACACCTCCCTTCCTCTGACTCCTCATCCAATTACTCACAGGGTCCTCTTAATTCAGACTCTCCAATACATAGTAAAACCCTCAGAACTTTTTGTTGTTCTCCATATCCATGAATGCCGGCACATCCGAGCCATCATCGTCCCTGCTGGAATGCTGTCATAGCACCGTTCCCCATACCCAGCCTGACTCCCTTGCAATCCATTTTCCATGCACCCACAAAAGCGACTTTTTCATTCATACTGTTCAAGATTCAGAGTACAGTTTCACTAACAAATTCAACTTCTTTGTTCAATCCTGGAAAATTTGTAGCCATCATTTCTGCAACTGCTGTTCCTCCACAATTCCATCCCTTCTCTCCACCTGGAGATCCTACCACACCTATCTGGATCCTCTGAAGATAATCTTTAAGTCTTTAACTCAGTCTCTTCTTCTAGAAGATCTTGGTTGATTCTGTTTTCTAAAACAGGTGTCCCCTTATAGGTCTTTCATACCATGCATAACAATTTCAATTTAAATGATTATTTGTTTAGCATTTGTATCCTTTAAGCTATAAACTGTAAACTTTGTGGAAGCAAAGACCAGGTTTGTTGTGTTCCAGCAATATTCTCCAGCACACCCCTGGTTATCCAGCATATTATAGGGGTTCAGTAAACATTTACTACGTAAATAAAAGGAGCCAGATGTTATAATGATGTATACACCAGCCCGGAAATCTTTGCCTCAATCTGAAATCTTCTCTAAATATGTGTCATTGAAAAAGTCTATAGAGCAATCCAATGAAGGTTTTTTTATTTGTTTGTTTGTTTTTGAGAGAGCATCTCACTCTGTTGCCTGAGCTTGAGTGCAGTAGAGTTATCAGAGCTCACTGCAGCCTCAAACTCCTGTGTTCAACTAATCTTCCTGCCTCACCCTACTGAATAGCAGGGCCTACAGGTGCCCACCACCACACCTGGCTGACTTTTCTATTTTTTGTAGGGACAGGGTCTTGGTGTTGCTCAGGCTGGTCTCAAACTCCTAACCTAAAGAGATCCTCCTCCTGCCTCAGCCTCCCAGAGTGCTAGGATTATAGGCGAGAGCCACTCCAGCCCAGCAAACCTAGTCAGTTTTAGATCTATATTAAATCGAAGTGCATGTCACAGGGTAAGAAAATTACCTTCATGTAAAATAAAAAGAAATAAAATGTGATTGTTTCACCTGTGAGGAAAGGCATTGCTATGAAAATACTCATTACAATATATACATTGGCAATTTTTTTTTTTTTTTTTGCAGTTTTTGGCCGGGGCCGGGTTTGAACCCACCACCTCTGGTATATGAGGCCGGTGCCCTACTCCTTTGAGCCACAGGTGCCGCCCTATACATTGGCAATTTAAGGTCCTAGAAAATTTTAAACTGGATCTTCAATGTGGATGTAATTAGAAAAGAATATTTTTAACTGTTGGGAGCTTATATGCAACTAAACTTTTATCCTTTTTTTTCTTTTAAACTAGGATTACTATGGGTAGTGTATCTTAATTTTGGCAAAATGTTTGACAGCTATTCCAAAGATAAACTTACTTGTGACTTTAAAGTGGGGCCCAGTCATTGTAGGTAGATTTGAAGATAGTTGAAAAGCATATTCAAAAACTAATCAGCAAATCTTTGTAACTGGTAAAAGTGACGTCCGTAGTGGAGTATTATAAAAATCTAGCCTTAATTCTTTCCTTAATCAATATTTTATTGACTTTACTAAAAACAAGGAAATCATGCTAATAATATTTAAAGATTCCACATATACTTATATATAAGAAACACGTGTAGCTAAATTTCACTAGCTGGTAGAGTAACAATTCAGTCACTTCAACCAAGTCAAACAGTAAACATTAAGTAATCAAGCAAAATAAGTAGAAATGTAAGGAAAGCCTGTATTTATGTCCTAAAATCAAATGTATAAATGCAGGATGAGGAAAACCCAATTGGACAGCAGCTCCTATGGGGGGAAAAATCCATCCAAGACTTTTAGCCAATTAAAGGCTTAATACCAACTAAAAAGATGACACAGTCTCAGATGAAGAGTCTTCAGGCAGCCTAAATGCCAGCTGGCTCCCGCTGTGGCCTGAATGCCAGTTCCTTGGCCTGGGGCCAGGGCCAGTTCTCCACTCTGAAGTCTGAGGGCTTCTTATGGTTTAGTTCAGGGGTCCTCAAACTTTTTAAATAGGGGGCCAGTTCACTGTCCCTCAGACCATTGAAGGGCTGGACTGTGGGCCCCGGGATGAGTCGGCTGCTAAGCAGGACAGGCAGCACTGGCAAAAACACCCAGCAGGTCCACTGGCTCCATAGTTTGAGGACACCTGGTTTAGTTCCTCAAGCTTCCCTCAGCCTCAGTGCTCCTGAATCTTTAGACTCAGCATTTCATGCCCTCTTTGTACCCTGATGTATAACTCATCCCCTTCACTGACTTCTCAAAGAAATGTCAAGCATTCTGAAATGCTAGAAGCCTTTCTGGAGGACCTGGAGGGTTGCTGTAGTATCACCCTAAGGAGCAGGTGGCATCCTCCACTTCTGTCCTCACCCTTCTTCCTCTCAGCCCTCTCCAAGGCAATTCACCACTGGCTCATCTTGTCTCACACAGAGCAGTTCTGTACATATCAAAGCCCTGGGGGTTCTCAGCATCCATGTTATTATATTAAGACCACACACAAAGTATTAGTCTCAAACACACCTGGCATAGCAGGGGCAGTTCTCTGAGGTCGCTGACCCCCATGAAGAGGCACCAAAAGGGCAGTATAGAAGGTGGCCAAGAAGCCAGTGGGGGAGGCAGGGATGTGATGTAACCATCATTCAGAGAGTAGCAAGGAACCTCCCCTCATGTGGAGTTCATGCTCCCTCTCTAGTTAGACCTGTTTTCTGCCATAGGTCTAAGAAATGTCCAGCCACTTCTGCTTAAATACCCCCCGGCTTTAGTACTGCCTGAAGCAGAGACATCTAAGTAGGAAAGGCCAGTTAATTTCAAACTTTTGAAGGCAATTGTGTGAATGAGGGAGAAGACCTAATGTATATTGCTCCAGAACCACAGGGACATGCTAAGGCCAACATAAAGAATTGTCAAACAACTACAGTTCCCCAACAATGGAACTGGCTTCCTTCACCCCTGCGCGGGTCTGTGAGGGTAAGTGACAAAGAATCTCTGTACTGGGGGCAAAGTTGGCGTGTATAATTCTGGAGTTCCCCTGCAACTCCAAAGCGCTAGGGTTTTAAGTTCCAAGAACCTTATTTATCATTTCTTTTTAAATAAAGTTCCTACCTTAACTGGTTATCCTTAAATTTTTCATCTCAGTTAAAAGTGTGGACTTTCTAAACAGTTTTATAACCAGAACCCAGAAATCTCTCCAGTCTTTACTTTCTTCAATAATATACTTATCTCTGCCTCCCCTAATACTGATTACATTTCCTCAGAAGCCCTTTACTGAGTAATTTCTAAAATGGCGAGGCCTATAATTATATACAATGATGAGCGTTAACATGAAACATTGTGGATTTTTTTTGGTTTCACATACTAGAAACACACAAATCCCAACTTAAGGGCATGCTTTTTCAGTCTTAGAAAGAATAAAACTTAACAAATGAAGTTAGGATATTCTTAATTCAATAGAAATAGTCCATGAAATCCTACTCGGATTGTCGCATAGCGAAGGCGTTTGTGCAGAGGCCACCCTGCACCAAGGCAAAAGCTTCCCAGGAGAGAAATATTTCAGTACAGTGTATTTTTGTCATCTATACTTCATACAAGGGATTCTGTTTCTCCTTTTGAACCTTTACTTCTGTGATCCCACTACTGAGAAGGGCCTCATAAATCTAAGGCACTGTTTTTCTACCAGTATTCTTGCTCTGGAACAGAACATGCAAGTATTTCATTCCTGTCTCCTGTATGACAGAATCTACAGATTGTGGCAGACAGTTGATATATATCAAAGTTTCTATTACCAAAGTAAAGAAATCTTTTTTATTTTGCAAGATGGCAGATTAAAGCTTTTTGTTAACTAGCTTCATCTACTTGGAAATAGAAGAGTGTGTAGCAATTAACACTATGAACTTTTATTCAAGAAGAAGCATATGAATTCACCAGAAAAGTGATGGATGTTCCAGATCTCATGGAAGAAAAGGCAGGAAAGCAGTTGGCAGCATCTGGCTGAGAAAACTGGCTCTTACTCAGGAGAGCCACCTAGCGACTTGGAGGTTGAACTGCACAATTCAGAAAAATCTGCAGATACATGTGCATCGATCTGGAGAATGAGATTAGCTTCCTGAGACCTACGGCATCCTTGAGCCTGCTCACACGCTCCACACATCCTACTATAACCACCATGTGAGAAAGCCACCACACAAAGGCTACCGCTAACCAAGAAACTAATACAGAGGCTTTGCCACTGAAACCCCCAGAACTAAAGCCAAATGATCCCATACAACATACATTATAATCACAGTCTCAAAGGGAAAAAATGCCATCCAGCGAAGATGTGGAATCAACCCAACTTCCTATTCATATGAGTGGATTAATAAAATGTGGTACACGCATACCATGGAGTACTACTCAGTTATAAAATAATGGTGAACTAACAGCTTTTGTAACAACCTAGATGGAACTGGGGACCATTGTCCTAAGTGAAGTATTGAGAGAATGGAAAAACCAACACTACATGCTTTCACTATTAAATTGGAACTAATTGATCAACACTTGTGCTCATACGGAAGTAAAACTCTAGTGGAAATCAAGCAGGTGAGGAGGTGGAAGAGGTGATGGGTAAAAACCACTCCAAACAGGTGCAACGTCCACTAACTGGTGCTGGGCACACTCACAACTTTGACTCAAACTGTAGAAGACCAGTACATCTAGCCAAAACATTTGTACCCCTGTAATATTATGAAATTTTTAAAAACGCCACCCAAACAAAAGTAAATTTAAATACAGTAGAAGAGAGATTATCCAGATGAGAAGAGATCAGAGAAATAATTCTGGAAGTATAAAAAAAGTATAGTATTACAACACTTCCAAAGAATAATACTAACTCTCTCCAGCAATGAATTCTAACCAAAATAAATCTCTGAAATACTAAAGAATTTAAATTTAAACTTTAAAGGAATTCAATGAGATCCAAAAGTTAAAAACCAACAAAAAGAAATCAGAAAAATAATTCAGGATATAAACAAAAAAATTATTAAAAAGATAGATTTTTTTTTTTTGCGAGACAGAGACCAAACTGTCCCCTGGGTAGAGTGCTGTGGCATCACAGCTCACAGCAACCTCCAACTCCTGGGCTCAAGTGAGTCTCCTGCCTCCTCCTCCCAAGTAGCTGGGACCACAGGCACCCGCCACAACGCCTGGCTATTTTTTGGTTGCAGCCGTCATTGTTGTTTGGCAGGCCTGGGCTGGATTCGAACCCGCCACCTTAGGTGTATGTGGCTGGCGCCTTAGCCACTTGAGCCACAGGCGCCAAGCCAAGATAGATATTTTTTAAAGAAAACCAAACAGAACTTGTAGAAATAAAAGATTCATTGATGAAATTACAAAATATATTGAAAGCTTTAATAAGTGACTAAACCAAGCAGAATAAAGAATTTCAGAGCTTGAAGACAGGCCTTTTAATTTAACCCAGTCAGACAAAAACAAAAAACAAAAGAAAATAGCCGGGTGCCATGGTGGGCGCCTGTAGTCCCAGCTACTTGGGAGGCTGAGGCAAGAGAAGTGCCTAAGCCCTAGAGCTGGAGGTTGCTGTGAACTGTGACCCCACGGCACTCTACCAAGGGCAACAAAGTGAGATTGTCTCAAAAAAAAGGGGGGGAGGCGTGTGAATGAACAAAACCTTTAAGAAGTATGAGGTTATGTAAAATGATCATACCTATGAGTCATAGGTATTCTGAGAGAGAAAAATAAGCGAAAGCCTTGGAGAACCTATTTGAGTTTGTTCAAAAAAACAAATTTTTTTTTTT